CATACATTCAACAGAATGATTTGGAATCGTGAAGTGTGAGCAGCTGGCAAACTGGAGCAAGCCCTCGCAGGGAGCTTTTAACTAATGGAAAATGAGAAATCTTCCCCAGCAAGACCAAAGGGAGATCCAAGAAGCCATGATTCCAGTTCTGGGCTCTCCAAAGTCCAGAGACAAGTTTCCGCCAACACAGACATCTGTTCGGTGAGTACAGGGATATAGCAAAATAGTAGCAAGGGTCCTACATTCGGGGATCAAGAGAGCTGGACGTGAAGGCCAACCTGGCCTCCCCATCTCCCTGGCCTCTTTTCCCCCAGTCTGTGCAATGAGTGCACCAGACCTGTGATTTCCTCAGCTCCAAGGGCGAGTGACTTTTCCCCAGGGGCAGGCCCTCTCTCCTGATCTCTGGTCCCAGAACAAACAGCAAGCTTTTCAGCCAGTTCTCACCCCTGAGCCTGAAGGGAAGGCTTTCTGTAGAGTTTGAGCTTCGTTCATTGTACTTATCCCCAGCCTGAGACCCTGAAGAGGGTTCATCTCCACCTAGGACCTCCCACCCCGCTGAATTCCAGCTCCTGCTGGCCCAGGAGGTTGCCCAATAAAGACCAGCCTCCTACTCCCCACATCTTAAAATACAAAATTCAAAAGATTTTCTAAAGTCTGTTTAAAAATAGTTGAGATACAACCTGGAAAATAACCCCAACTGTGTAGAGCTTTGAAGCATCTCATCTGGAAATAACTAGATCTACAAGAAAGGTGTGGCAACAGGTCAGAGGTTCCTGTGTTGTTCACCGGCTGTCACAACCCTCACATCTTCCCTGATCACACACTTCCCAAACCTAGATGCTACTGCTGAGATGGGCTGTTAGCCACTCGTTGACTATCAGATTTCACTGTGGCCCTCTTCTATTCCAGCGTCTAGCCCAGGGTAGCACAACCTTCTGCCACCTGCATTTTGACCATCACAACCATTTTTCCAGTCCCAGCATGGGTCTCAACCCCAACTGTTTGCTGGAATCACCTGGGGAGCCTTTGAAAGGCACCAAGTCCAGGGCCACAACACCAGTCACATCAGAGTCCCTGCTGGAGGCAGGACTAGCACCATTTTTTCCCCCTAAAGCTCTGGTAATTCTGGTGCACAACCAGTCAGAGCTGAGCTACACTGATCTCAAAATGCCAGAGTATATCCATCCTGTCAAGCTCTTGATGTGGACAAGTGGCTATTTCTAAATTAACTTTTAATGACACATGAATCTTCAAAACATTCCTCACATAATGCTCACTGGTGCTTTATCTCTATTTAATCAAATTAGAACATTACAGCTCAAAGTTAAGTCCTTTTTAATTAATCCCTCAATTATATTCTCTCCTCTTCTCTGGAGAAA